GTAATAAATATAATGTAATAATAATAAATGTATCATCATAGCCAGTGCAGCGATTATATGTCTCCTAATCTCTATTGCAACTGTGCCATTATACGTCTATATTACTCCATTATTCGATGTACTAACTATTATAATTCAATGGATATTGGAGCACAGCCAGTCTTTATGCTGCTTTGCATTGAAATGGAGGGGATAAAACGCTTGCTTTTCTTCGCTCCATGAAAAGGAAGGAGATGATAAGGCTTGTTCTACAATACGCATGTCGATGTCGCGAGCCACATAAGAATTGACAATTCAATTCAATCACAAACGAATGTAGGGAGAATATTTGATTGTGATTGGCCCATTCTTATGGCCCACGACACCGACACACGACGTATTGTAGAACAGGCCTAAGCGATAGCGTTTCGCTGCTTTTCATTAAGTGGAGTGGGAATAAAAGTTAGCTTTGCTTCGCTGCATGAAATTACAGCTTTAAGTCCATGAGACAGTCATAAACATAGTATACCTAGACCAAGTAAAGAGTGGGGATCGAGGTGTATGTAGAAAAAGATAAACTCTGTTTTATGCTTTCGCGTTTTCTCTCGTTCGCATATGCGTATAAAACGTACATCTGTAAATGGGAATTGTAAGTAGAGGCGTATATTTTGTAGGCATGCATGAACTAGAGAGAACGCGAAGGCACAAAACGGAGTATATCCTTTTTGACATACACATCTATCCCCACTCCTCGAATAAAGACAAACGCTCGGTCATAGTATCAGGAGACACGGGGTGCTTTCCAACAACGTACACAGGCAACACTGTGTAATATAGTATCTACACTGGTGCTTTCCATCTATGACACAGAGAGACAAAGAACGACACTGCGAAACACAGCTCGATTCTAAGTTTGGCCGTGTCGGACGTCAATAGCGCCGACATATCGAGCAAAATTATTTTTTTTAAGTGTGGTACTAATATACATTCCGGTCATTATTGTCATTTTGGATGCATTCCGTTGAATCCGGATTCTGTTTCTTGTATGATGCGCATAATGCATTTATCCTTGTTTAATGTATGATAAGGATAAATGATACATCATGTGCATCATGCGAGAAACGGAACGCATCCTTTATTTGTAAAAAATGTCTTCATCGCGTTCGAATAACGTAGTACCGAAATTTTTAGGTAATCAATATTCAGTTTTTTTTATTTAAAGAACTATATAAGCTTAAAAACATTACGTATTTGTTGATGACCCATTATTAGTACATATTCTATTGGATTAAGTTTTATTGCAGATGTTCTTTTGTCGGTATTGTAAAAAAATTATTCCTATATTAAATGATATTAAACATCATGCTTGTTTCAAAGAAAAAAAAGTTTTCCTTGAAGGAGAAAAGGAATTATACTCACCTGAAATGAATGAGATTCCATGTAATGTCAAATCGAAAAGATCATAGTTATTTTACAAACATAAAATAAAGCGCTTTGTAGCCAGCAATAAAATAATCAATACATATAATTTACTTAAATTTATTTCAATATGTATCAATAATTCTTAAAAAAATGCATTGGCAATAATAGCTATATAAGGCCGGTTCTAACTTGGGAGCTCCGAGGGGGGGGGGGTAGGAGGGGCAGAGGGATTCCGCGACGCGGGCACTCCATAAGCGATGGATGCGGGGTCTGCGGGGCAAGGGAGAGGGAAGTGCGTCACTAGGCGCGGGATCTGCGGAGCGAGGAGGTGGAATATGGCGCGGGGTCCGCGAAGCGAGGGGTGACGTCACCGATGCGGGGTCCGCCGCCGCCGCCGCCGCCGCCGCTGTCATCATGTTCTTTCTCTTACCATTTTTTCTTCTCTCTTTCTTTCTCTTCTCCCTTCCTTCCTCTTTTCTTAAGTTCTCTCTCTTTTCACCAAGATATCTTGTTTTGTCTTGATATTTTTTTGTAATTTTAATTTTTTAAATTAATTATTTTATTTAAAATTAATTATTTAAAATTTTAAATTATTTAAAATTATTTTATTTAAAATTAATTATTTAAAATTAATTATTTAAAATTAATTATTTTTTTAAAAGAGATTTTTAAAAATATTACTTAGTAATTTATTATTATTATGAGTGATATTATTATTCGTGACAAGATGCGTCGGCACGCGACTCGTTATCGCAGCGCAACCTGAAACCGCTGAATTGAAAGAAAGAATGGAGAATAAACCGAATAATATTTATCATAATATACATTTATTGGTCATGTAACGCATAGTGTACAATATTATCTATTGCGTACGCTAATGATTCATAACCTATAATCGAAGTTTTGTCAAAAATGTCGCTCTCGCGCAAAGTTTTTATTGCAATATGTTTATCTGTGATACAATTCCGCCGTAAAAAGTTTATAAATTGTTTAAATTTTTCGCTGACACCATATATATTCTCATAGATCCTGTAATATACATGTTCGACGCAATGTTCAAGTTCAAATAGAAAGAATACGGTTGACGGCTTCATGTACAAGCATGTATCGCGCAATGTAAACTTTACAATATTTGTATTTCGCATTTGAACAAGTTCTATAATTAGATCATGAATCAACAATGATGAAGGAGCAATTGATTGCACAAGCTGCTCGATATCCACACGTTTCTCGATGAAGGTTTTCCATATTACATAAGGCAATAATATTTGATTGCCTCGATTATTACCAATACGTAATTTCACATAGGATACAGGTCCCATGTTGATTCCAATATCCAAATATTTATAAGCTGTGTATGTTACGTTATATTTGTAAGCTGTGGCAAATCTTCTTCCCAAGATACGAGATGTACAAGGTTCCGAAGATGATGAATTATGAAAAGATATACTGTAAGGAGAAGAATACATATAAGTAAGCTATTAATATATTAAAATATATAAAATGTATAAAAAAGATTTGTGATAATGAAACTTACTGTTTTTTGTACGCCTCATTCTGTTTAATCGAAGTGTAATAATTCACAGAGCTTCCTTTGTACATTTTTTCAAGAGGTGTTTTTTTTTATAGAGGTATAGATTGTCCGTCTTTCACAGAGCGATTAATGCAATAATGATTGTTGAAGTTCTTTTTAATTTGTATACCCCTCTATTCCTTTTTCGACGGTTTACTACGCGAGATGTGAAATATAACCCTCATTAAAATAGCAATTTTTGCATAAGCGCCGACGAATGGCAGCTGCGATGAGATTATACAGAATAAATCTACTTTAAGCACGTTTTCGTACATCATTCGATATATGATATAACTGTAGACACTGCAACATTTGCAATAATATTAGCGCCAATATATGGCTGCTACGATGAATTTCGCGTAAATATCTTTATCATGTCACAATGAGATCACCTCACGTATTGCAAATTTGCAAATCCACATAGGTCAACGGTACGAAATATATATATTTTTTAAGAACAATTGATATTTTTCGCGATGAGATCGGACACGTGTTAAAATTACAAACTTGCAATTTCACGTAGGTTAATGGTATGAAATATGATATTAAGAACACGTTGGGCACGTCACAACGTGTCCTGCGATGAGATCATTGTGTTAAAAACGCAATTGTTGCATTTTCACATAAGTCAAGAATAAATTCTTTATATATCATTTGATACACTCTGAAATTAAATGCCACATGCGAAAATATTCTAAAGGAGATACAACCATCATTGGTAAGATATAATGAAAAGACTGTGACATGTTCTGTCATTAGTCGAATTGTAAGTTGAGAGTTATACATCAAAGAAGATAATTAATATGGAGCAAACCGAGAGTGTTCTTTTGGAACAATCTATCCGATTGAATTCGAGAGAAGAGTACATCGCATGAGAGCAACGATGCGACAAGTATATCGAGTCGCTAGAAGAGCATGGTCGAATTAAACGCCCGCGATTATCAATTAGTATTAGGCAATCATTGGTCGCACGGATAGCGCGACTCGAAAGTTTGAAAGATTCGGTACGCCAACGATTCGTGACCGCGGGTGCTGGATACAGCGCAGACCTCAGATGGCGCGAGATTAATACGGCGTTTGAAAGCCGTATTTTGACTGGTGCGGTCATTAATACGAAGCACATCGAACCTTGCCAATTTCTCGAGGATGCGAAGAACATTGTGTTTGAGCGTGTGTAAAATATCATGCAGAAACATAACAATATCAAGGTGAATACAGTATTTAATGGTGAATTTGTTGCGAATAACAAACGTGTAAATAAAAGTGTCAACACGAGAAACTGTAAATTCTTTCATTCGTCCAATTTACACGAGTGGTACGAGTTGCGCGTTATTGAGCCTACCTTGGCATCCCTAGAAGAATTTCAGGAACGCGATAGCGGATGGGCATTGTTGCGTATACTCAATTTGACTGTTAATATAAACAAACACAATCCTCTGCACGCAGGATGTTACATTCAGTTACCGCGGGAAATTATGATGAAGAGAGCGGTGATTAACGTACAATCTACAGACAATGCGTGTTTTGCATGGTTAATAGTCGCGGCTCTGCATCCAATTGAAAGAAACACAGAATAAGAATCCTCGTATCCACATTATACGTCGGTACTCAATTTTCAAACATTGAGTTTCCAATGACGTTGGAACAAATTAAAAAGTTTGAATTTCTCAACAACATATCCATAAATGTATACTGCATCGAAAAGAAGAAAGAACTTTCGATCCTTCTGACATGTCTTACCAATACGAAGAAGGAAAAGCATGTCAATCTGCTATACGTGCAGGATCCGCGGGACGATAACGCGGGACATTTCGTGTGGATCAAAAATCTGTCCCGCCTCATAGGCATCAAAAAAGCACACAGGAAATTTTTTTGTGACCGGTAAGTATACATATTTTAATAAGTTGGGAAATATTTTATACTCGTTTAAAAAAAACTAAAATAATTATGTTTCTTGCAGATGTTTACACTATTTTAGCATGAGTGAAAAATTGGAGGCTCACATTATAGACTGTACAGAGATGAACGACTGTGCTATCAGATTATCGAGTGAGGACAACAAGTGGCTCAGTTTCAACAATTATAACAGGAAAGAACGAGTTCCGTTTATCGTATACGCGGACTTGGAATGCACCCTGGAGAAGACAGAAAATGAATATCCGAAAACATCAAGCTATGCGTACCAACACCATCGGGTATTTAGCATAGGCTATTATGTACGCTGCTCGTACGATAACTCACATATCGGTTTCGTCGCGATAAGGATTGCGTCGTGGTTTGCCGAGGAACTCAGAAGTTTAGCGCATCGCGTAAAAACTATTTTGTTCCGCTAATGTCCCTATGGCAAATTTTACGCGAGAAGATTGGGAAAAATTTAATAACGCTATGTACTGTTACGTGTGCGAAAAACCATTCGCTCCAGATGACATGCGGGTACACGATCATTGTCATCTAACTGGTCGATTTAGAGATCCCGCGCATTCAAATTGTAATTTAAATTACAAAGACTCGCGTTGCATTCCCATAGTTTTTCACAATTTATCCGGGTATGACGCGCATTTATCATTATTACGGAAATAGCTACGGCATATGAAGGACGAATAGAATTACTTCCGATAACAAAAGAAAAATATATTTCGTTTACAAAAAATGTCAAAGATACGGAAGACAAAAATGATCAGAAAAATTGTGTTAAATTACGATTTATTGATTCATTCAAATTTCTCAATACCAATTTTAACAAACTGGCATCCTTCTTGAGTAAAGATAAGGTACAAATATTGCAATGCGAGTTTCAAAATTTATCGACACAAGATTTTAATTTACTGACGCGAAAAGGTATCTTTCCGTACGAATATATTGACTGCGTCGAAAAATTGAAGGAGTTATGTTTACCATAACGCAAATCATTTTACAGTTCATTGACAGGTGACACCGTGTCCGAGAGCGATTACGCGCACGCCGGCAACGTATGGCAGCGGTTCTCCATCCAAACGCTCGGCGAATACAGTGATTTATATCTCAAGACTGCCATCTTGTTGTTGGCTGATATCTTTAAAAATTTTCGTGATAGTTGCATCGCGAGTTATGGACTCCTGCGTACTATTATACCCTACCGGGTTTTACGTGGGACGTAATGTTGAAGCATACTCGTGTCAATTTCGAACTGCTCACCGACATCGATCATGTTCATCGAACGCGGTATACGCGGTGGTCTAAGTCAATGTTCCAGCCGATACGCACGAGCTAACAACAAGTACACGCAGTCATACGATCCATCGAAACCATCATCGTATCTTATGTACTTTGACGTTAACAATTTGTACGGTTGGGCAATGTGTCAACCATTGCTTTACACAAATTTTCGATGGATCGTCGACGTGTCCAATTTTAACGTAAACGCAACACCACTGGATTATCGGTTACTCGCCTATCGGTTACATTCTCGAGGTAGATTTAGAATACCCGGAATATCTTTACGACGCGCACATTAATCTACCGTTTTGTCCAACGCGCGATAAACCATCCGGTAAGCGACAGGACAAACTCCTCGCAACCTCACCTTGTACGAGAAACGTTATGTCATATATTATCACCTACAGCAATGTATTCGTCACGGTCTTTGCGTTATAAAAATACATCGCGTATTACAATTTTCGCAATCTTCATGGCTCTGGGAGTATATCGAACTCAATACGAAATTTAGAACACTCGCTAAAAATGATTTCGAGAAAAATTTATATAAATTGATGAACAACGCGGTCTTTGGCAAAACCATGAAGAATATGCGCAATCACGTCGACGTTAAACTTTTTAACAAAATGGGAGGGAAGATATGGCGCGGAGGCAATGATCGCGAAACCAAATTTCCACAGTCGAAGCGTTTTTTCAGAGAACTTGATCGCGATCGAATTGCGTAAACTCGAGGTGAAGTTCGACAAACCAATCTATGTAGGTATGTGTATCCTCGATATATCAAAGACATGTTTGTATGAATTTCATTACGATTACATGTCACTATTGTATGGCGAGAAATATAAAGTAATGTACATGGATACCGATAGTTTAATTTATCACATCGAGTGTGACTACGTCTACGATATCATGAAACGTGATATTGAAAGATTCGACACGATTATGCGGTTGATAATGTATATGGTATTCCACTTGCTAATAAAAAGATATCAGGTTTGATGAAGGACGAAAACAATTATGACTGAATTCGTAGGGTTTAGAGCAAAAATGTACGCCTTGCGTATTGATGGAAAAAATGATACGAAAAAAGTGAAAGGCATCAAGAGTAACGTAGTAACAAAATCGATAACATTTGATGATTACACACAGTTTGCGAGACGAGACTGAAATAACACGACAGTCTTGTATAAGATCAAAATTGCATAAAGTATATACGATATCCGAAACAAAAATTGCTCTAAATCCGTACGATGATAAGCGATACATTGTATCCGACTCTACCGACACACTGCCATGGGGACATTATAAAATATCGTCATAATACATATCTTATAAATAAAAAACTCATTTATTTTGTATAATATATATTTATATATTGTAAATAAAAATTCATTTTACTTCTATAATAAATTGTAATATATAATGTATAATTGTAATACATGTATAAAGAAACTTGTATTAAATTTATTTTACACGTTATTTTTGTGTATCCATGAATTGTGCGAATTATCAAATCACAACCATTTAACATAAACCTCGTTCCTCCTTTTGCCTAATACTTTTTCAACGAGATACACGTCGGGGTTTACAACGCGATGCAATTCGTATTCGTAGAATCCTCCAGCGATTGATTTTCCATATGAATCTTGCAATAGATACGTCATGGGATTAGTTTTCTGAACTTTGATGATCTTAAACACTTCCATGGTCCAATTTGGTATATAACCTTTTTCAAATATTGTCTTGAATTTACTCACATGTACCGAATCGCCTGTTTTGAATCGTGCGGGTGCAGCAATTTTTATGTGATTATACACTGTGGTCAAGAGTTTGTCTGCGATTGCGGGGATAACATCGATGGGTCGCATATCGATAGTTCGATGCTTTCGCGTATTATTACGCCGAGACAAGACGTGGTAACAAGTCGAGCCATCTATAATTGCCATTATGAGTAAACATCTTCCACATGTCATTTTTCAACGTGCGATTGAACCGTTCGACGATTGATGCTTTCATTACAGAATATGTCGAATAGTAATTTATCGTATCTCTTTATGACTTTTTGTACATTTGCATTATAAAATTCCTTTCCTCTGTCGGTCTGCAAATTTTTCGGACATCTTCCATCGTCTCAATCATTATCTTTTCGATCGCTCTTGCAACTTCGTCTCCACTCTTGGTCTTGAGCGGTACGGCCCATGCGTGCTTACTCAGCACATCGATAATAGTAAAGATATAGTGGTAACCTTTGTTGAATCGCGTATAAGGTCGCATTTCTACATCTGCCTGCCATAGGTCATCGTACCCGCATACTATGACACGTCTTCGTGGAAAATTTCTTTTCGCCGGAGCGTGCAGTTCCTCCACTAGCCACTGCTTCTCAGAATTTTTCTTCTTCTCGAACATCACGACATGAAAATAACACAAAATTTGGTGTATATTCTTATCTACGTACTCTCGGTGCGATGAGTAATCATCATTTGTCGAAGCTCGTTTAAAATAATCTGCATGTCCTTTTGGAACGTAATCAATTTCTTCTCGATTTCGTTCTGTCGATCCTTCAAAATTTGTACATTATGTTCCACGTACCGTTTGTTTATAACGTCGCCATCATCTACCGATAACGCTACACGTCGAATTTTGCGTGACTTTGCATCAAAGTCGGCTGCGACCACGCAAAGAGCGTTATCACGCACGTAATTTCTGACTAATCCACTCCATTGGTAGTATGGTTCCGCTCCGCTTCTTCCAAGTGATGTCCCAAACTTGTTGATTGGCATTTCGACACTTGTTAAATGACTCATTTCCTTGACACGCGGTTCAATTTATAATGAGATCAGCTTCAACAAGTTCCTCGATAATTGACTGTATCTCATTGTCGTGAGCGTTGTGTCCAGCTTGGCGCGAAGCCTCGAGTAATCGGAGACGATCTACAAGTTCATTTGGATCATCCCAATGCACGTAATCGATGGCATTATCGTTTAGTGTCATGACACGTGATATACCTACTTTTTGGGGTAGAAGGGGTGCGATTACATATTTGTATTTGTATCCTTTATTACCCATAACTGGATTAAGCATATTATGATTACGTATATGCGCGTTTGTCAGTAGCAAAATATCTTTGTATTTCTGTTTATCTTCTTCAGTGTACAATTCATCGTCAGGTACTTTTTTAAAAATTAACTCGTAAAGACCTTCCGTTCCCAAGTATCTTATTCCGTTTATAAATATATTGTCATCTTTGCTTACATCGAAACACTTATCACCAAGCATCAATCCATCGTTGGTGAAACACCATAAATGTTATCTATATCTTTGTTTCCGGTTAAAATAGCTCCCATGTACTTTTGTCCTAGTGGACCGAAATGGTTTTGCAACGTTTCTAAACCTTCCGAGGTTTGTAACTGACGTCGAATAGACATCACCAGTGACTCGTTGGTAGTTTCAAAAACATCTTCGACAGGTAAAATATTGTTCGAAGGCTGTTCATATGGTGTTGCATGATGTGTGACATTAATCGGAACAGAGGTCATCTGATATATCCGATAAAGCGTTTGATCGTTTTCGTGGAGTAGAAGTTATCAGTGAATCATCTAAATTTTGCGACCGTTTTCGTTTTGTCTCCCTTGTCACGTTAGACTCCATCTTATAGTTAGGTTCTTCACCGCCAGTATTTTCAACAATTTGAATCAAAGGTTCGACAATCGGTTTGAACTATCTTTCTAAAGCAATATCCTCTTCCATCTTACCCGTTTTTAAGGCGCGATACTTCTTGCGAATTGAATCGCTTGTTTTCGCAATCTGCTTTACTATCTTCTCGCGATCTCTAATCTCCTCGTTATTATCTATGTTCGTAAACGTTGTCTAGCCGACATATCAATAACAAACTAACAACATTATAGTATCGCAAAATCGTTAAATTCTTTTCTGTATCGTCCATTAGCAAGCGTGCTGTCTTTGTCTACTACGAAACCATATTTTTGTTGCCAACAACTGCGACACAATTCACAGAAATCCTCGTAGGACATGTCAGTGTTTACGTGATTGTTGTATACATGTTTTAGATTGGTATCATCTTGTTTAAATAGAATCAACAGATTTGCGTTGTCGCGTATAAGATGCTTGGGTATCTTTACATACGTCTGACAGAGATAAAAGCAATCAATGTCAGCGTGCCCATTGCAAAGTACTCTCTTACTGTATCTTGCTTGTCGCACGCCATGTCATCAAAGATAAAGATGGAATTCGGAAGCGCTTCGCTCGGTGGAATGACGTCGCTATTATTGGAGAATGTAAAATAACCAATTTCTTCTATCGATGTTAATAAATTTTTCAAGTATCGATATTTCGATTGCTGCAGCGATTTAGAATATATGTACACGTTTTCAAAGCACACCATGTGGATTTTCCAGCAAACTTATCAACACATTTGTTTTGCCACAATTTGACGGTCCACATATGATATCACGTATAGAAATAGGAAGCATGTTTCCATGTTTGCGTGTTTTCCTTTCAAGTTGTACTTTGTCGTCTAAATTAATCACTCTGATCGTCTGTGATTGTCGCACGAATTGCATTTTGTCTCCCTACAACGACAATAACTGAAAACGGTGTAGAAAAAGCGGATCTTAATATTTATAGAGGAGTACGGAGCGAAACCGCTCAGTAATCAAAATGTTTCTTATCGTGTCAGATAGCTGCAATATTTACAATATAACATCCGAACAGTTACAATATATACCGAAAGTTGTTTTACTACGAGAATTTCAAAACTGCATAGATCTCTTATGGGACAAGCTGCCCGAGCATATAAAGACGGATTTGGAAGTTCGAACCTATCGTCGCTGCGACGAATATTATAACCAATCGTGGCAACGCACACACATCGACGGTCCAACACCGTTGATAAAGAATTGTGACGAATGTCAACGAGAGGCAGAGGTCTGTTAAATCGAGCGATAAATGCGCTTCCTTTCAAATTGCATATCCCCGGATATCAATTTTGCGGTCCTGGAACGCATTTAGAAAAGCAGTTGGCTAGAGGCGATCGAGGAATTAATATATTGGATGCTGCATGCCGCGAACACGATATAGCTTACTCACAAAGCAATGATCTCGCTAAACGACACGTAGCCGACAATATACTCGCCGCAAAAGCGCGAAAACGCATCACCGCGAGAGATTCAATTCTGGGTGAAAGAGCTGCCGCCGCAGCTGTCTGGGCGGCCATGAAGGCCAAGACAAAAATCGGCATGGGTTTGAAAATAAAGAAGAAGCCGATGAAGAAAGCAATGAATAAAAGAATAAAAGAATACTTCCAGTAGCGAAACGCGGTGGTATCTTACCTATCCTGCTATTGTTGAGAGTTCTCGGTTCATTGGTTGGTGGAGCGGCGGGAGTCGCCAAGGCAGTGAACGATAACAAAGCTGTCAACGTCAACTAGAAGAATTGAAATGTTATAATCGTGCTATGGAAGGTCATGGACTTTATCTCCGTACAAGCGTGGACGAGGTGTCTCTTTAAGAAAAAAAAAACGCCAAAGAGACGTTAAAAATTCCTAAAGGTATAACTATCAACATACAACTACAATAATTGGCAACGCATTCCGTATTTTAGAGGTGTTTTTATGCGTACTACCTTACAGGAGTACATCGAAACGAGAGCGGTATCTTGAATTTATTAGGTGTACAAAAAAGTTCTAAGCTTTAGATTTCATACAACCGAAATAACAATTTAAATTTTATATATCTTCCCGCCCTTTTGCGGTTTTAAAGCATTGACATTTGGCCTTCTAAAATGCCATACGGTTTGGCGTTTGATGCACATAACCTCAAAAATCAGTAGTATTCACGATGGCAACAACAAAAGAGCATATTCGATTTTCCATCCACTTCGCGTTTCACCTGAAGAAAAATGCTGCTGAAACCACTGCAAGAACGCTGTAAGTCATACTACATGTAAAAGATGGTATCAAAAATTTCGCTAAGGAGATTTCAGTCTTGAAGATGAACCGCGTGCTAGACGCCCTCAAAAGATTGAAACGGACGAATTGCAAGCACTGCTGGATATAAACTCTGCGCCAACTGAAAAGGAGCTTGCAGAACAGCTTGGCGTTACGCAGCAAACCATTTCTGTACGTTTACATACGATGGGAAAGGTTCAGAAGGAAGGCAGATGGGTTCCGCATGAATTGTCCTATGGGATGTGGCACTTGGTGGTCACCAGTTTATTGTCGCCTATTTGTGGTGGCGTGTTGTTGGCTGTTGATGTGTAGCTGGAATATTGTGCTTGGTGGCGTGGATGAC